GTGCGGGCGTCGACGCGGACTGCGCGGGAGTCGGTGTTGGTGTCGACGCGGACTGCGCGGGCGTCGACGCGGACTGCGCGGGCGTCGACGCGGACTGCGCGGGAGTCGGCGCGGACTGCGCGGGCGTCGGCGCGGACTGCATGGGCGATGGGGGTGTCGAGGAGGCGAACGCAGAGGGCTCCGGCGGCGTTGCGGGCAGTTGGCCGGCCAGGACAGTCAGTGGCGATAGCTGCGGGGTTTCCAGCTGCTCGACGGGTGTGCCCCCTGCCGCGGCAGCAGAGGAAGACGCGGCGCCGACGCCTCGAGCAGCGAGGCGACCAGATTGTCGCACAGGCCCCGCGGGACCGGAGGTACCTTCATGGCCACCCGTTTTTTTGCCATTCTTCTTCTTCTTGCCACCTTGTTTGGCCTTGTCGAGGGCGGCCAACGGGTTGAGACAGAGCGGTATGAAGGGCGATGTGGTTGTCGCCGAAAGAATGATCTCCGCCGCGCGAACTCGGTTGCCAAGTGTCATGCGGTCGAACTCCTCGTACTGCGAGAGGCCGTAGAGCTCCATGCGCCTGCTGCGGGGGCTCCTCATGTCCAACTGACGTCGGACTGCGTCGTTCAGGTCGAGATCGTCGGCGGATGGGACAGCGATGTGCTCCGGAACCTCCCCATCCTCCTCATCCACCCACCCGTCTTCTTCCTCACCCCCCTGGCCTGCTCCTTCAACAGGTTCCTCCTGGCCACCCACACTCGCGCCCTCATCCTCATCCTCGTCCGACTCCGAGGTCTCCGTCTCTTCCTCAGACTCGGAGGACGACGCCTCCGACTCCTCGTCGCTTGCATCGCGAGCTTTGCGACGCGACCGCGACTTGCCCTTGGACGACTTTTGCCGCTTGGCGGCGCGTTTCGGAGAGGAGGCCCGGCGCTGTCGCTTGGAAGTACCCATGGCGGCGGGTGCGGTGATGGGGACAGTCGAGGTGTTGACGGCGGGCGCGGCGTCGGCGGTAGAGGCTCCGGGTGTCGCGTTGGCGGAGAAGAGAAGCGACGTTGTTGTGCCAGGAATGGGGGTGCCGTCCATCGTAGCTTGACCGCTCGCTCGAGCAAGACCCTCTGAAGATGATCAGCAGCAGACAGACGCGTCAGGGGGAGTTGACTTACCCGGAGTGCGTGCAAGGAACGCCGTAAACGCGCCCATGACGTCCTTCTTAAACCGCCCTGGATCGTGCAAGTGCCACGGCATAGGAGAGGGGCCGCCGGATTTGCCAGCACTCACGCTGTAGGAGGCACGGTAAGTAATGATGTCAAAAACAGAGAGAGAGGTACCAACATCTTCAGCTGGTTCCCGCCGGGGAGCGGGGCACCCGCCAAAAGCGTGACGTACATCCCGGTGTGCTCTCGGATGAGCTGCAGCAGCGGCTGCACCACCGCTGCAAGCTTGTCTCTGGCGCTGAAGTGGCATTAGTAACGATATATCGTGGATATGTGCTTGATACACACTGTGTCTGCGCAGCCTCCGTTGGCCGAGTCCTGACCGGCTCCTGCTGCTCCATCGCGACGTCCGCATCGCGTATCTCCTCGCACTCAGTTTGGAGGGCGGCGCGGTACTCTTCAGTCTCCTCCGCGAGGAGTTCGCGCGCGATGAGCGACCGCAGGGCGAGGACGCGTTCGCGCGGGGTATCTTCGGCGGCCCTTCGTTCTTCGAGCTCGGCGTCGATCTCCGGTTTCTTCTTGGACATGTACAGCTGCCAGGGAGCCAGCTGGCGAGGTGGCGGGGGAGGTTCTTCGCGGTTGACGAGCTCTGCGAGTACTTCCGTCCAAGGGTTCTCCATGTCTTGCAGGCGGTCGCGTACGTAGCGCATGTGCCGTTTGACGGTCTAATGAAGCTCAGTATAGCTCATACAAATAATTAATGCTGCCGAAACTCACCTTCTTCACGTCGTCGATGACCTTACCCTTGGCTTTGCGCTCCTCGGGACTAAACTCCTTTTCGTCGGGCAACGGCCAGGCTGACACGTCATCATCCTTGAGAGGCACCGTCCACGGGAACTGCACCCAGTACAGCTTGAAGAGCTTGGCCCAGAAATTGTTCTGCGGGGTACGGGCCGTTTTCTTGAGCTTGTTGAACTCGGGCTGGTGTTCTGCGAAAAACGCCAGCCGACCCGCACTGAAAACCCCGGGATTACCAGCCTTGCCGCCTTTTTTGGAGCGTTTTGACTTGCGCCGAGCACGAGTGGCGACAGAGCTAGTGTAGCGGGCGTTGGTGGTGGCATCGACGAATTCGACGTTGAGGGAGGCCATGCTGCCAGACGTGGAGGAGTGACGGGGCGGCGTTCCGAGGGCCGAGGAAGTCAAAGCTGAAGTCCGGGCTGCGCGGACGCCACGCCACGCCACGCGGATGTGGGCGCCTATGTAGGGTCCAAATCGGGCGATCGCTAACTCTGCGCGATCGCCTGCCTCCTCAGTCCAGCGCCGCCACCACTACCCCGCGATCGCACTTCGCCCTCACAATTGGACCCACCTCCCCTCACACCGCTTTCTCCATGGTCTCTCACAGTCTTCTGCGCGACTTCGATGGCGTGGCCAGAGCCATCGGGGAGTCCCCCAAGTTGGATCGTGCCGGCAACCCCATCCCAATCGGTCTTCCGGAGGACAAGGACGCGATCTACGTCGTCTGGGTAGGGCGCTGCATAGGGTTATTCTACAACTGGTGAGTTTACACATCTAGCTTCACTGATCTTCCGTCGACCGTGACTTCTGCTTCACAGGGGCCTCGCTCAGGCGATGACGTGCGGCTTCTCCGGGTGTGCGTTCAAGAAGTACCTCAGCCTCAAGGACGCCCTCCTGGGGTGGTTTCAAGGCCCCATCCGTGCTCAAGGAACCTGGAAGGTCCCCAAGCCTCGCCCCCCCATCTACACCATAGGCCCGCCGCCCGATCCCACCACTTCCCCCGCTAAGAATGATCCCCCCGCCCCCGAAGTCGACGTTGCGCCTCAGACCCCGCCCAGCATCCCCGTTGATCTTCCGCCCGAGAGCCCCAACTTCGAAGAGGAATACTGGGGAAGCGACGAGGATGCCGACGAGTTCCACGACCCCGAGGAGCCTCCCTCGACGCCGAGTCCTCCTGCCTCACCAACTCTTGTCCCGGCCCGCGGCGTCTCCCTGCGCGACTACATTGAGTCGCAGAAGACCGCTCCACCGGCGTCCCCGTCCATTGCCACTGCCTCCTCGTTTCCCCTCTCCTCCATGCTCACCGACGGTACAATCTCGCCGAACACCATCCATACGCCCCTGCTTGCCTCGCCGGTCTCGCTGGGCAGCCCGCTTAGCTCCCTGCACTCCTTCAGTCCCAAGCCCGTCCTTCACGGCTCCTCTCCCCTGCGCGGCGGCGCTAGCACGGCGCCTGCATCTGCAGACCCCTTCGGGCATGGCGGCCATGCGGACCCCGGCGCTTCCTCTCTCGGCGCCCCGCCCCGACGCGTCCGGATAGTTTACGTCGTCGTCCGTGGCGAGAAGCCCGGCATATATTTCGATAAGTAAGTTTGAACTATATGTACCAGTCATTCGTCGCTCATCCCGTACAGGAACCTCGCTCTCCAGATGGTCGGCACGAAGCCCGGCATCAAGATCGTGAAGTTCCCGTCCTTGAGCCGGGCCGGTTGGTATTTCGGGCTGGAGTACATGGCGGGGCGCGTCGGAAGGCCCGTGCTCGCGGGCGACGGAAAGCCCGTGCTCGCGGACGATGGAAGGCCCGTCCTCACCGACGCCGCTGAGGGGACCGAGGTTTAGATTTCGTCACTCGTGTATTTTTGCAGCTCACAATCTACGTCGCGCTCGAATCCACCAGATACTCGTTCTGCGCATACCCTAGGGTTCTAAGTCTAGATATACTTGGGCGACGGCCATCATGTACTGGACCTTAAATGCAGCGGCCGATAGCTGCTCCCAAAGCTTCCCCATGCTCTCCGGGGAGAAGCAGTCCAGCACCCCGCTACACACCAGATCCTGCACCTCGTCCAGTATGTCGTCCCCCCTGCCAATCCAGTCCCACGCCCTCCCCGTCCACGCCTCCATCGACGGTGCATCGGCCTTCGCGCACACGTAGTTGCGCTTGAAGCAGGTGTTGAATGAGTCAAGCTCGTCCGTGTAACCCCACCGGCACAACCTGTCGTTCAAGGCGGCCAACCGCGCGATGAGAACTTGGTCCGGAGTGAGCGGGATGCGAATGGGTGCGGCGGGTCTGCGGCGCAATGAGAAGTGCGGAGACCGATCTAGAATTATCATACTTACTTAGGGCTTGGTATAGGTCCAGGCGTTACGGCCACATCGCGAACCCCCTCGCTGGACGGTCGGGCGTTGGACGGACCCGCGTCGACGGCGCGCGCGCTGCTCGGGCCCGGGCCAGGATGTGGCTGCGGGTATTCCGTGGCGTCCGAAGCCGCCTGCGAGAGCAGCCGCCTGCACGGGATTTAGGGGGTGGGTAGGAGTGACGGGCGGCTCGAAGGCAACTTACGGTTTACGCCTTTCATAATAGTATCGGCGGTTGGCCATCCTGCGTCGCTCCCTCCTCAGGTTCTCCTCCTCCGGTGTCAGGGGCATCTTCTTTCGCCCCATCGAATGTCGGGAAACGGCGGGTTTATTAGACGGCGCGATGTGGCGGGAAGTGCGGCGCGGGAGCGGCTTTGGTACTCCGGGGAAGGGGACGTGCTGGCAACTTGCAGAAGAACGGGAGCAATGTCGTAAGTCTGGCGCCAGTGATTTGAACCAGGCGGATTTAAGACAGTCTTAAAAACTAGCGCTCAGATGCAGGTGCAGCTGCATGGGTCTGCACAGCTGCAAGTCCAGCGGTACTGAAGGTTTTCCCCCATTGCTGTCTTCCATGAACCACACGCAATATATTTCCATCAGTCCATGTATTCATTCAGAATGGGGTCGCACTTGCACAGGCGTGAGGTAGTTTATGTG